ACATTTCACCGAAATTAAAGTGTTTGGGAACGTCACGTTCACACACACACAGCAGTAATTTATTAAATGCTTAACGGCACAGCTCGTGTCGTCTTTGGGAGTATAATTATCTAAAAGATGATCTCAGATTTCATATATGAATTAATAATTTGCTTCATTAATGTAAACGAACAACTGTATATTCTCCCATTAAAGGGTCTTCTAGCCTAGAGTAAGAGTTTTTAATTAAGTCTGTAAAGATCCAAGTTTTACAGGCTTACTAATATTACATTTGCTTTTACTAGATTTTTTAAACGAAATTTCGTCAATTAGCTATAGTTAATTTAGGTTATATACGTGAACGAATTTTACTTTCCCTAATTTCCCTCTTCCAATAACAACGAGATAGGATTTTTATTTCAAAATAAAAGTAACAAATGTTCTATTCATTTAATAAAAGAGAAACAAGGGCAAAAGTCTACCAGTGCAATACTGTTTTAGCCACCCTCGCAACGGATAGTGGGTGATATTTTGTAATAGCCATAAAATCTGTATTACCGCTAATGTATTTATGGCGGCGCAGCACCCACTAATATTTATGCAAATTGAAAATACACAGAACAGTCTCGTTTACGCGCACCTAATCCCCTGCGCGAGACGAAACGACATATGTCAGAAATGATACTTCTTTTTTTTATAGTATTAGTATTTCTAGTTCAAATTTGAAACAGAACATTTTTGTGATATGGATTTTTTCATATAAACGTTAATTCTGAAACATTAATATAATATTCTAATACTTCAAATTCACCGTCAAATTTTCAATTACTTATTTGATATGTAGAGAATTTGTACTCATCTGAAGTCTGACAGTCTGAAACTGTTAAAACTGCAATTTAACCTGTCAATTTTAAGTTAAAAATTCATATTTCGTGTAAATCAATTTTACAAAAAAAAAAAACGTTAAAAATTATTAATACATGTAACTTTATTAAAGCATTAAATGCTATTAAGAAACTTAGCTAGATCTTGAATAGAATTCAAATAAAAATGGCTAGACAAAGAATAGCACTAACTGTAGTTTGTTGTACGTTTTTTCGTATTCACAAAACAAACGTGCCATTTAATGATCAGCTCGTTTGCGATACCCCATCATAACGTAATATGATTTGACCGCATGGCGAATTCGCGGCGCCCCAACCCACTTGTCATCGCAGTGGATCTCCGGACCGAATAGGAAAAGTAATTTGTGTCCATATGGGAGCCGTGATTGCCTTCTGAACACTTTCACCCTCGACCGGCGGCGGAATGTTCTTTTGGTGGCCAATTTTCCCCCCGTTTCATTTTCTTGGATCTCTTATAATATGTTACAAGGTACTTTCGCTGTGCGCTCTTGTTTAGGGTTGAAAATGTTTTTTTGGATGTAATTTAATAGTATGTAATACAAAACCCCGTTTCAATATTTTTTTACATTTCGCATTTATTCTCGTTCATGTGCAACATTAATACGTAATACGTAATAATGATAAAAAGTGTAATATTCGTAAAAGTCAAGCGTTTATTTTTCTTTTAACTGTCCCGAAATACATATACATGCTATTAAAAACTGTTCAAAAAATTCATTTCACGAATTTGTTTTCATTGGTAACGTAAATAAGGGAAAATTAAATACTTAAAGAGACAACCATTCATAAATAAACGTTTAAATAGTCTTATTTTAATCTGTCCTTTATAATGTTGAAAAAAAAGTTACTTATCTGTGTTTAGTTTAACTGGCAGCTCCCCTTCCCGCCAACAAAACGCATCACTGATTACTAATAATTTTATGGGTCTGTATACAAGTCTCAGGTGGTCGGTAATTTGTCTGCGGTTGAAGGGTTGCATTTGATTTATTCCAACGGCAACGAGCGCCTTGGGACGCACTATTCTGCCCCAACACCTCGGAATGATCACAATCACTAATTCATCCGGATGCCGCGAACTAGATTCTTGTACAGACCCGCGATTTACGACGAAATTTTTCTTTACGATTTTGACAGATTGAGATTATTTCAATGTTCATTTTGTTATGTAATAGAAACAATACCCTTAGGTATATTAAAACATGTAGGTATGTTATGCATTTTAATGCAGAAATATGTTTGCTATCAATATTAAGAATAAGTTATTCAATTTGACTTTTGTATGACATGAGCTGGTGATCCAGGAGAAAACTACAATGGTAGGGCCACGCAACAGTCCGGGTCCGTCCGGGTACGTACCACGACCTCACAGAAGACCGGCGTAAAGTAGAAAGTGTTACACTAGTGCATTTCGTCTGGTGAGTGAGGTAGCCGGGGCCCACTTTATTAAAAGGTGGCAACGCATTTGCAACCCTACGGGTGTTGCAAATGTTCATGGGCGGCGGTTATCACTTAACATCAGGTGAACCGTCAGCTCAAAAAAAAATCTAGTTTGTAATTATGTAGTTACTGTAGAGCATTCGATGAAAATTAAATCGACATCATTAGACTGCATTATGTGGTAAGTTTAGAGTCTTTTACATGCAAAATTAGTGATGGATAGGCTAAGATTAAGATTTGAGGAGCTTTTTTATTGTTAAGATTTGTTGACAAATTCTATTAAGTTTTTGATTTGAATGAAAACATTGTGTATAGTTGTTTTGAAAATATTTCCGTATCTTATCATATTCCATTTATAAACAAATTCCAATTCCATAAATTTGTCATTCACGTTATCTGAACTCATAGTTAAGCGTTAATACAACGTTATTACGTGAAAAAGGAAATCTTGTATTTTCATGCGAGAAGCCAGATTGACCTTGAAAGAGACGAACGTCTACGTGGCTGATAAACATGCGCGCAGAATCCGCGGCGCGTGTGTCACGTCGCCCCGCAACAATAACGAAACATGAAAAATTTCCAGACGCCCGCATCAGACTGATAAATGGCTTCCGAAAATCCAAAAGGAAGTTACAGCTTACTTGGGATTTGGTCTAGAACCTCTCACGTCCCATAACTGCTGCACTCCGCTTTATTACAATTACCATAAGCCCCAAAGTCCCGCACTCCACGCGGCCCGTGGGCGACCTCATCATTTTGAACCTACTCGCGAGCGCGGTAAGACGGTTATTGCTTGGGTGAAATAGAAACCGCGTCTGGGGCGAAGTCCCGGCCCGCGTGCGGGCGACGTTGACATTTATTACGAACAGCTTAAGATTCAAGTTTCGAACCCGCGGCTCGAGGAGGGAAAAGTTATGCGCGGTTCGTGCTTCCCGACCGGTCCACTCTTTACATTTATGTGCGCGATATGTCGGCGGCTATTTGGAATACTAATTGGGGACGCCTCGGGACTTAGAAATGATACTATTTACTTTTTCATAAAAAGTTACACGATCTCTACTCTATGGTTTTCCTCAAAATATTATCGAAACATTACACGTTTGTAAAGACAAAAGTCCTACTACATAGTTTTATATGTACACCGAAGCGTAAAGCGATGGTTAGACCGTGAATAGGAAATCAACAAACCGCAAAACGATGATGAATAGCGCCGGAGAAAAGGGTCTGATGAGTGAAATCGAAACACCGGCGCGCTGTTGGTTGAAAAGAGAGGGAGATAGGGGAAATTAGCGGACGCTCCCGTGGATTTGTGTACGTTTTCAATGAAGGCCCTTAACGGTAGGTAAAATAGGAATAAAACGGATCGCTCCTAATCCGTCGGCCATTTATAACTTACACGCCATTAATTTGAGTGATAATTCTCTTATAGCGCGCTGATTGGGCGTAGATAAAGTATGAAAAAGTAAACGTGGCTTTCAGAATATAACGCCAAATAGAGACTGTGGTCTTTCTTACAATGCAAAAAAACAATATGATAGAGCGCAATATTTTTTTCACTAGTTAATAATAGATATAATTAGCTTTGTGTTTTTCATGGATTAATATTTTTTTTCATAACAAACAATATTTTTCTACAACATTTAGAAACACTTGTGTAGTTAGTTTGTTTTTGGTTAATGTGTCAAATATGTGTGTTATTTCAATTATTTATTATTATAAGACACAAACATAAAAAGGCCTTTCTCTGAGATATGAATGTTAAAATAGATGCACTACTTAAGCTTTTTTTTTAGAATATCACAAGAAGAACGGTAATTCTTAGTACAAGTAAGGTTATTAAACAAAATTGACAAACTGCGTCATCAGATAAGACTCAAATTTACAACTCTGTGTACAAAACAAATATATAAAACTCAAAAATTATGCAAGCAGTGGCTGGTTGCTCATTTTCATTGATTAGTTGCTTTTAAAGCTTTAAAACAATAGTATAATTTTAAAACTACTATTGTAACTTCAATTTCTTCAGCTGTGAGCGCGTTTTTTTTCAACTTTATCTATTTCTAATCTAAAGCATATTAGCACGACGTACACATCTGCAACGCTATCTATATGACTAACGCTTAATATTCGCGTCAACTGCTTGGTTAAATAGGACTCTTTTACAGATTTCAATTTATTTTACGTTTGTAATAAATCGATACGAATGATGACCAAAAAGAGACCAATATCCCCAAATGATATATGATAAACCTAAAACCTTGTCTCTTGTTTAATATCACGTATTCAACTATGTTAGTGAATACTCATTACTAACTTGTTAGATAAGGCCAGACGATTTCATAGATTGTCGATTTTCCCCATGATAATTTGGTATGTTATAAAAATGAAGAAACATTCTAATTTAAATAGTGAACATGAGTGGTACCACAAAGAGTGTTAACAAAGAATAATGTTATCCTGAAGTAAAGGCAGTGTTTTAATAATAAAAATAATAATAATAATGAGTACAGTCACTATTTTATTGTTTCAAGGGCAACTGAACAGCGGTTTCTCGGATAGTAACACCGTGTTGCAGAAGTGCTGCCAATCACTGAGAGTGTGTGTTCAATTGCCTAAATCTAAAGCAACAGTTTATTCTTTCATGCCGCTCTTCTGCGAGTCGATTGTGCTTCCCGGTTAAGCTGACCAGCCCCTGAAAGAATTGACGAGTATCTAGAATTAAAATTTCTAAAAACCCGTCTACATCAAGGTTTGAAAAGGCCTAGATGGTTTCTGAGTTGAACATTTTTCTATTCACTGTTAACTTTCACAAGCTGACTGTCTGATTTGATTACTCAACCGATTCCCTTAAGGAATTACGCCCCACGTGTTTGATCTCTAGAGCGACACTAAGGCGCAAGCTTACATACACAGGCTGATAAACTCAAGACCTCACTTTGCGCGACGCAGTCGGGCAGGCAATAAAGAGAATCTTAAAAATTTGTACCGTCCGCGTAAACGCTAGAAACCACGGTCCGATGACGTCACTCGTCGGATCGCCCGCGGCGATAACTCTTGCAGTGACAGGTGACATCTTGAGAGCATCACGCGTGCCCATTGCTCACCTCCGGATATCGGGATTGTTAACAACGCTGACACTGTTGGCAAACGTTAATACGGCCGGAAACGGGCCCTCGGACGGCCCGGTTATCGGGATTATGTTATTAACCAGACGTAAGCGTCCGCTAGCCGCGGTGGTCCCCGGTGTGGTAAGATTAACACGGCCAGTTTGTTCTCGTGTCACTCGATACGAGGAAGTTTCTAGGCGGTCCGGGACCTGACTGAAGCCCTTGTAATCCCTCGCCCACTTGGGTGAACAGGAATGCTCAATTTTCTCCATGCTCGTTAAGTTGCAAATGCATAAAGTGACCTATTTCTGCACCGTGGTATTTCGAAATGCGAGCTTTGAGCTTCGAACTCTCAGCATCTAGACAGCTGTAAACTTATTACAAAAATTAATTGGACAAATAAAGAAAATTCAGTAACTTCCAACTGTTTGATTGTTGGTTCAATGATGATGTTCATAGACAAAGATTTAATTTGATCCCAACTCTATGCGCACAAATAAGTGTTCCTGCTATGAATTCAGAGAAAAATCAAAACGTTGTGATCAAATCTAAGCGCTGCTATTATTAACCTTTATTTTCTTTTAGTATAATTTGTATTATACCGTTTTATAAAATGAAAGTAAAAGAATAGCGATAAAGATAATAGAAGGCATAAATCAAAAAGACTTGAGTGACATGCCTTTTTAATATAAAAATGACCATTTTTTTTACTAACGAAAAACAAAACCGACTTCAAATATCTCGCTCTGTATTCATTTCATAATTGATTTCCCCAAGTATCTCCGGAACCCAAGATCCAATACCAATGAAATTAATATGGGAGCACATGGGAAGCACCAGCTTCCAAATAAAAAAAGAATCATCAAAGTCGGTTCAAACAAATGTTTTGCGGAAACAAACATAAAAAAAATATAGTAGAATTGAGAACCTCCTCCTTTTGAAGTCGGTTAAAAACAACGGACTTTTTATCGACTTCAGAAATTAAAAAAAAAACACTATTCGAAACTAATTCATACATATTTCATTTCTCCAAGAAAACTGAAAACGGTATACAGATAAAGGTAACAATTAAAATATTAAGTAAGCAACTTGTTTTCAACACCATTTCCATATGCACCATTACTCAAGGTAACTGGAGTGATATTAAGCAATTGTGATAAGTAATAAGATGTTTATATAACTAGGTACGCTGTCCGTGCTCTTTCTTAGACATATTAAAAGAGATTTGTATTTACTCCACATTCACATGGTCAAGTTCCATTCATACAATTATTGTGATATTGCGATATTGTGCGCCGTTTTTAGAGCGATGATGTTGGCTAATATCGTTTCTGTATATTAAATAACTTGGTTAAAACTACGGTTAGGAATGAAGCGACCGTCTACGTAGTTGCGTCGGGGTCGCGGTCGTAAATTGCACCGACTTATCTATGTTTACAACCGCGCGACTATCTGTCTCGAATGTAAATACAATATTTTCAGTCCGTGTGTGTTGATCATACAATTTTTACCTCGGCGATTTACGACCTCACGCCACAAGTTACTGATTGCGTTGTAATTAAATACACGAGAGTAGCGAAAGAGCAGAGAGTAGGAAATGATTTTGGAAAATATATTGGGCCCTTGGAGTCATTTCTAGTTTCTAATAATATATCAGTATTGCTGCATAATTATTTCATTTATCACTTCATTCAATATCAATACGTGATACGAAGCAGTTCCGCGTTCGAAATATGAAAATTAAAAAGGTTATATAGATATTTTCATAAAAATTAATATTTCACTATAACTAGATTACTAGAAGCGAGTTCTTTAATAGACTTTTGACAAACTTAATAATGTCTATTCTTCTTCTCATCTTCACGCGCAAAGTTTTCGTAACATTGTTCCTTGTTTATTTTGCAATGAAGATCATTTATCAATACCGTTTAGATACAATGTCAGTTAAATGGTAAGGGACTCTAATTAGGTTAAGATAAACATATAAAAAACCCGGCCAAGTAGGAGTTCAACTCGCGCTCGAAGAGTTTCGTACCGTTATCTACCAAAACGACAAAAAATCATATCTGTTGTATAGGAGCCCCACTCAAATATATTTTTATTCTGATTTGTTGTTACAGCGGCAACAGAAATACATCTTCTGTGAAAATTCAAATTTTCACAGAAGATGTAGATGATAGTATAACTATCATGCTTCATGAGATACAGCCTGGTGACCGACGGACAGACTGTGGAATCTTACTAATAGGGACCCGTTTTACCCTTTGTGTATGGAATCCTAAAATGATAATTTCATATACTTGATATAATTGATATTAATGTATGATTAATTCATTTGATATAATTAATTCATTTGATATTAATGTATGTTAGTCTACAGTTTATGGCTTTATTAATATAAATCATCCGTGATAGCATATTGGTTGAAGCTTCGGTCATACAATATAAGCGGTTATATCGCGGTTTCAAATCAATTTTCTATTTCGTAATTCTTTTCTAAAATATAACCGTCTCATATTTTTGACCAGTACGGCAACACGTTTTACAACCTGCCACATTCAAGGCAGCGCTATTAGTTCCTGTCTACCCTTTTCTCTTATGGTGAAAAGACGTTCAAGCTTGTGTTATTTATTTTTTAATGACACACATTTGGGAGGCACGGTAAAAAACTTACCTTAGCGATTTTCATGAACCTTCTCGTACATCTATTTTTCCATTAAATTTTAATTAGTCAGCCACAAACTGTCGACGGAAAATCTAAAAGTACTTATAAGCATTAAAAAAAATCTGACCATCACGGAAGATCCGTTTACTACCGTTTATGGTAAAAGTCGCACTGATATTATAATAACGTAATAATAATAATTACATAATAAAAATCAGTGCGTTGGTGGACTTCAGCTTGTTGTGGCATCATTATGCAGTATTATGCAGTCGATTACAGTTTTTACGGCAACGACTTGTATTGTTATAAAAATAAAACCGTATAATGTCTGGTTGTAAAAGTTATGAACCGTTGACGTTGTTACGATTACTATGACAGGTGGTACAGTCGCGAGAAGAAGTGTAATAATTATTCAGATATTATTAAATATAGAGCCGTGATAGCTCAGTGTCCGGGCGCTCGCCTTAATTCAATATACTCGAACAACCTGAGTTCGATCCCCGGTGCCGGCACCAATGAAGTTTTTAACTTTAAGTGCTGACTTATCATGTGCTCCGCGGTGAAGGAAAACATCGTGAGGAAACCTGCATATTTTCGAAATAATAACAAAAAAAAAATATTTTTCGAAGATATGTGAAGTCCGCCAATCCGCAGAGGGGCCGCGTGGTGGACTATGCCCTGATACCCTCTGTACAGAGGAGGCCTTTGCCCAGCAGTGGGACATGTATAGGCTGTTACTTTACTATACTTTTATTAAATATACAAATATTTTTTTACGTAAAAAGTTGTTTTAATAATTTCAAAAGTAAATTTAATATGTTAATACATGTTTTGTACACACTTTCACTAACATACACTTTACGAATTTTACCGCAGTACTTTGATTTATACTCCCGACTATATGGCCAAGAAAAAACTGTGAATTCGAGCGAATCGATAAGTTTTCATTCCATTTCGACATTGATTTTTTTGTTATGTATAGAAAAATTATGTCCACAAATTGCATAAGTGATCAATCAACAATCTGCATAAAAATTGATGAATTCCATAGATATTAGGAATGCAAATAGGTTAAAAAAATCTTTTAACTGAAAGTCACTGGTTTTCGTAATCATTAACTGGTGGTAGTTTATATCATAATTTTGTAAAACGTTAACGTTTGACTTTACTAATATTATAAAGGCGAAAGTTTGTATGTATGGATGGATGTTTGTTACTCTTTCACGCAAAATCTACTGAATGGATTCTAATGAAACTTTACAATAATGTAGCTTATACATCAAAATAAATTATAGGCTAAAATTTATATACATATTTTATGTATATCTGTCTTTCTGTCTTAATGTTACACCTTCAGCCTATTCTACGCAGACGTAGTTGCGGACAGCAGCTAGTACTTTATAATTAAAGTCGTCCAGTGATTAAGCTAAAATTTATTGCATTAATGTTTCAGCAATTGCTAGACGTAAAGACATCGGTTTCGCGGAACTTAAAAACTTTACGACCCAACCAATCAGTGCAAAGCCATAAGCACTTTTACGCGCGAGCGTCCGCCGCTGTAAAGTTCAGCGGAGACGGCGCTTTACAGCCCCCAATAAAACAATGAGCGTGCGCTTATCACACGTTATCAAAGCAGCAAAGATAAAACGTATTTGAACGTGTGTCGTATGCTCTGTACGTTTGTTCTGATGTGATAAAGCCCTGACATATATGCGTCCTGACCGATACAATAGCATCAGGCTCTTTTACTCATTAATTAGAAAAAAAAACATTTAACCTGGTCTCTCCCGTGATTGTGTTTGATACATAAGTAGCTATCAGTGGCGCGGTAACTTAATCTTATGCCATAATAATACGTGGACTATTTAGTAACACGATGGTGTCCTGGCGCTCGCGTTTAATTTCATATACTCGAGCAACCTGAGTTCTAATCCCGATGTAATCGCCAATGAATTTGTTAGAAGTTTTATTTCATTTTAAGTGCTGACTCATCACGCACTCAATGGCAAAGGAGGACATGGTGGCAAAACCTGCATATTTTAGAAATAATAATAATAAAAATATAATGCTTATAAAAAGAAATAAAAACAGGTACGTGCGAGTCGAGCACGAAGTGTTCCGTATCATTATGTATAAAAACGGAAAATCATGTCTGTTGTTTGGGAGTCCAACTTAATCATTTTTATTCTGTTTTTTAGTATTTGTTGTTATAGCGGCAACAGAAGTACATCACGGTTCATGAGATACAGCCTTGTGAGAGACGGACAGACAGACAGATAGACAGACAGTGGAGTCTTAGTAATAGGATCCCGTTTAGCCCTTGGGTAAAACAATCCGCGGCGGTGTCGCGTGAATGACTAATAACGTCTATATGACTCAAACTAATGCGCTAATACGTTCAGTAAAGAGGACGCCTTTGCGCAGCAGTTAGACATATATGGGTTGTTCACTTTAGTCTTTTATGTAACTACATTGGGGTAAAGTTATCTAAAATGATGGGATGTTCTAAATTGGTGCCATATCACTTCCATTTTTTATGGGAAAAGTTGGCGAGTGAACCACATGAAAAAGAACTACCGCCAAAACATATTTAGGCTAAATATTTAAATCCTGAGATTAGGAAAAGCTCTAGGGCAAATAATTGGACCCAGATTTGTCAGCTCGCTTCTATACTACGTGTTTATATTTAATTCACATAATTATAGTTCGTACTTTGTATACAATACGATGTCCAGTACGATGAATTTTACGACGTTGCTGAACTGACATTCATTTACCATAAAGAGTTGTATTACATAACAGACTTCGTTTACTACAATCTGTAATCTACTATTTTTTTGTGTTTTTGCAAATAAATTGAATGAGCGACGTTCTCTAATTTCAAGTAAAGGGTGTGTCATACATAGTGCGAAATTTTATAATTTTCTTTGTATGAAGAAAAAAGATGGAACAATAATTGAATTCAAGAAATATCTTGATGTCATTGGGTCCTAATAAATGTTACGCATGGTCTGTTTAATAATTAATAAATCTGAAATTCGTATATAAACAGAGAAAGGAGCAGGGTTCGATAAGATACCTCCTATATTTGTCAAGTTATGTTGTGAACTAATACTCAATGTAATAAATGTTTAAAACCACGTTAATTTCCTACTGCGTGGAAAGATCTTAAAAGGGTAATGAAGAAGAAATTGCAGGGTGGTTTCGTTAGCGCTTATTGAATATTTTGATACTAAGAATATGTCTTTCAATCAAAACGGATTTGTTTCAAACGCGTTTAATTTTATTAAATCTCTTTTGTTTTGTTGATGACGTAGCTAGAAGTATCGACTTGAACCAAAGTGTTGATACTTTTATTACGGACTACTAATAAGAAAAGTTACCAATTTTACATTACAAAAAATTATGAGTAACCTGTATTACGTTCAGAGCTGATCAACCTTGTTAGAATTAATGTTTCTAGGCATAATCAATGATAATTAAATTGCAATTTGTTACATTAATTACCGATAGGAACCAACGGAGGAAAATATGTCTGTAAAAAATACGTATCCAATATACCGATTTAGTAAGTAGACCATAGTAAATAAATGAATAAATAGTTGGACGACGTGGTTCAATACTATTAATAAATTATAACGTATTATTTAGAGAACTATTTATTTCTCTTATTTCTTAAAAAGAAAACGCATGCATTTAAGATATTTTTAGGGTTCCGTACCCAAAGGGTAAAACAGGGCCCTATTACTAAGACTTAGCTGTTTGACTGACTGTCTGTCTGTCTGTCCATCTGTCACCAGGCTGAATCTCATGAACTGTGATAGTCAGTTGAAATTTTCACACATGATGTATTTCTGTTGTCGCTATAACAAAAAATACTAAAAAAATATATTTCAGAGCGCTCCCATAAAACAGACATTTTTTTGCCGTTTATATAGATAACGATACGGAACCCTTCGTGCGCGAGTTCGACTTGCACTTGCCTGGTTTTTTTTATTACAAACAGTTTCTGTTGTTGATATCACTACCTGCTTTACAGCTGACCCACGTGAATTTTGTAGAAACCGTTTATCTTTATAATTTACACAAGATGTTTACACTTAAAATTTGTTTCTAAAATTATCTAAAGTCGCACTAACAGTTGTTGAATAAACATTACTTATAATTAAAAACTATAAAATAGTTGTTATAAAACTATAAAATATATGTTCCACGATGATTAAAATAATATCAACATTGGTTTTTGCTGAAGACCAAATATTGCACATAATTATAAGCTGGTATTTGTACCGCAAAAAGAAAAAAAAAATCAAAAGTAAATTGTAAGCTAGATATTAAAACAAATATGTAACAGTTTCGAGTCGGCGGTCTTAAATATAATTTCTTGCACAAACTAAATAAAAATCCAATTTAATTAATGTGTCCCTCCGTACCCGCTATTTGTCCCATTTTTTAGGAAAAAATAATTATCAATAGCATTCTCAGCAATCAATTGTCAGCGTTCGTGACTTTTTCCAAAACAAAGGGATCAACGGTCATCACATCGAAGGAGACTACTATAAAATAAACATTAAAAAAACGCAACAACAATTTAACAATAGCGAAGAGCGTGGATTTGTTGCGGTAAACATAAATTACGTGCAGAAATTTGCAATTTAATATTAGAGCTTTGAAGTCTCTTGGCAATGGAAATGAAATCAAAACATTATCACTACATAGTATAAAACAAAGTCGTCCCGCTGTTTGTCTGTCCCTATGAATGCTTAGATCTTTAAAACTACGCAACGGATCTTGATGCGTTTTTTTACTAGATAGAGTGATTCAAGAGGAAGGTTTATACGTAATAATACATTGTACCCGTGCGAAGCCGGGGCGGGTCGCTAGTATAGATTAAATAGAAGTCGACAGTTTTATTTTCTGTAAGCTCAGTACTTTTATAAAGACGGAACAAGTATTAGTTCCTTAAAGTATACTGGTTTGATTTGCAGTTTATATTTGAGTAACAAGACTGTGAGAAATATAATATAGAATATAATATATTAACATACAAAATATTAAATGTAAATTTTTAAATGTAAGTATCAATAACATTTTACTTCTTATATTAGTTATAACATCAATGTTATTAATAAAAGTCGTCATTAGCAGATATATTGTGATTATCAATTACTTTATGGTCGTGTAATTCGTCAATGCAGTAATTATTTTCACTGAATTACATTGTTAATTGCGCCTTTTATATTTTTAGCTATTTAATTTTAACATCAATGTTATAAAATAAAAGTCGTCATTAGCAGACCTTTTATAATATTGTGATTATCAATTACAAATATTATGAAAGCTAAAGAGCCGTAATAGTCGTCCGGGCGCTCGCCTTTTATTCAATTCGTCGAGCAATGCAGTAATTAGTTTTTCAAGTGCTGACTTATCACGTGCTCCGCGGTGAAGGAAAACATCTGAGGAAAAAGATTTTGCATTGTTAATAGAGTGGGGGGCCGCGTTGCGCCTGAAGCCCTCTTTTACAAACATGAATTTACTTTACTTTACTTTTTTTATAAAATAAATTTGATAAAGCTATTTAATTTTTAATGGATAGAAAAAATTAGATAGAGCCGTGATGAGTGTCCGGGCGCTCGCCTTTTTATTTTATCCCCTATAACTTTAAGTGCTGACTTATGTCATAATTGTGACAAAGGTAGACGTACTGGCTATACCTTTTATAATTAATATGATTATAATTTAATATTCTTACAAATATAATGAGTGTGAAAGCTAAAGAGCCGTGATAGCTCAGTTTCCGGGCGCTCGCCTTTTATTCAATATAATCGAGCAACCTGAGTTCGGTCCCCGGTGCCGGCACCAATGAAGTTTTTAACTTTAAGTGCTGACTTATCACGTGCTCCGCGGTGAAGGAAAACATCTGAGGAAACCTGCATATTTTCGAAATAATAACAAAAAAATGTATTTCGAAGATATGTGAAGTCCGCCAATCCGCAGTGGGGCCGCGTGGTGGACTATGCCCTGATACCCTCTGTATAGAGGAGGCCTTTGCCCAGCAGTGGGAGATGTATAGGCTGTTACTTTACTTTTTAGAAAAATATTATTCATATGATAATTTGAATCATAACATACGGAAATAAAATAAAAAATAACGAGATAAAACAAAAATAAATTTTATTTATTTTTGTTGCGTGTTTCTATTCAAGTGCGTAATATTCATAAGTAAAATTAATTAAGTTAATAAGACTGTTTGTACCGTGCATCGTTGGCTATTTACGCGAAGGGCGGTTCTCCTGATGACTAATTGTTTTATGTATTAGAGTTGGCCAGTTACCTCATCAGGCGACAGAAAAGTATATGATATACGGTTTTCTGCGAACCGTCCGCGAAGCAACAGACGTTGCAGATTCGCCAGTTTATTTAATAATTCCCAATTTGTAACGATCAGCGTGAGCTCTGCGCTCGTGTGGCGGGCGCTATAAATAAATATACACACACAACACGGCGTCTCCGGTGACTAATTTGTTAACAAGTGTTCGGGGACACTTAATTACCCGCGTAAGCGACGGGGAGTCACCGTCTCTCAGCGAACGCATTATTCCGTCGAGATTTACTCGTCAGACTCGCGCGCTCTCATTAGCAACTTTAATTGTATTTACGATCCGTTTCAAATGCTAAAGGTCCAATACAAAAAAAATTACCTTTTTATATTTAAATTTGCGGTCTAAATTAGACCCTTGGTTACATTTCGAAATATAAAAAAGAAGTTATCTTTACATAGTATAAAAACGTCAAACAAAGAACGTCTTACAAAATCAGTCAAGTAGATCTTTTAAACTACGCAGCGGATTTTAATGCATTTTTCGGCAATAGACAGAGTGATTCAAGAAGAAGGTTTATATGTACTATACGTACATATAATTATACAGAAAAGCCGAGAAATTTAAAGATTTGTAATGTGCTGTAGTAACAAACATCTCCCAAAAAAACAGTTGTATTGTAATATTGTATATTAACATATTTCATATCCTGTAATATAAACTAATCATAAGCCGGGGCGGGTCGCTAGTTGAGTATATAAATTGAGTAAAAGTTAAAATTAAAAACTAAAATCCTTTTAAAGCAGAAATTAAAAAAGTATTTTACTTTATTGAATTAAAGTCCCGTGCAGGGTACAGTTGATATGTATCTTGATAGATTTTCTCCCTACATATGCTGTATTTCTTTTGTTCTCTATTTTTTATAATTCAATTTATTTTTATATTTCTATTTCAATTTAAAATATATTACCTCATTACAGCACGCTAAAGTACATGTTCATACTTCACTTGAATGAACGCAACTTAAAAAATATTCGCCTCAATTATGAAGTTAAACCAAAGTTGCTGTAAGTTATAACCATACTCAAACTTGCAACTCATATACTTACTCGGAGTTATAAGGCTGTTACACCGAAATTAAACTAGCTATATCTAGGGCTAATTTACTAATAATCTTATGCTAGTAAAGTTTAAATGTGTCAGGGACTTTCGTTGGTTTTCTTGTAGCGACGATATGAGAAGATATTTCTATCAGTTTCATATGTATTTTTAGGTTTCCTTACCCAAAGGGTGAAACGGGACGAAACCGAAAAACGAAACCCTATTACTAAGATTCCGCTGTCTATCTGTCCGTCTGTTACCAGATTGTATCTCATGAACCGTGATAGACAGTGGAAATTTTCACAGATGGTGTATTTCTGTTGCCGCTATAATAACAAATACTAAAAAACAGAATAAAAAAATATTTAAGTGGGCCCATACGAAAGACATAATTTTTTGCCGTTTTTATAAATAATGGTTTCCGTACCATGCGCGAATCCGACTCGCACTTGGCTGATTTTTATGTTAAAAGTTGGCAAATAGGCAGACGGTTAAGCTAATGCTACATGATTACCGCCGCCCATGGACTCTACAACACCTAACGGGTTGCAGATGCGTTACCAACATAAAAACATACGGCCCGGTTACCTTACTTACTAGACGAAACGAGAACGAATAATACTTCCTCTTCATATTCACTTCTGTGAGGACGTGGTACTTCCCCGGACGAGCTTGCCTATTCGTGCAACAGCCTTAGGTGCTACTTATCTGTTTCGTTGACAAGTTAGCGTACATACATTAATTTGATTGATTAATACATGTTTTCTATCCACAGTATGGGCGGAAACCGGAGAATTTCGGGACAGTGGGCACTCGTCCCTGACTTCAGGGGGCTCCGGCGTCGATCAGTCTTCGCTCTACGCGCCTCCCAGACCGCGAAGGGACCGCAAACACACAGACGACAGTGAGTGAATAATTCAGAGTTAAGAAAAATTATTCAAAGAACTTTCTTCTTCCTTCGAAGATAAAATAAATCATAGGAATAACGCAAAGAAAAATAGTATTTTTTCTCCTCTTTTACATAGATTTTCTTTTTCTTTTTCGTTTAGTATTCATTATAGGTAAAAAAGACAACTAAAATTGTCATAAACGTTTATGGCCGAATTTCGGCCAGTGGGCAAACTCTAATTATTTTAACTACCTAGACTAACTAACCTAACCTAAAGACTTAGGCGTTTGATTTGATTCCTATCCGGGATTATATATATATATATATATATATATATATATATAATCGGAATCTCGGAACCGGCTTCATTTTCATGAAATTTTGTATGTGCGTAGATTCGGGGGCGAAAAATCGATCTAGCTAGATTTCATTTTTAAAAAATGAAATGTCTTTTTATCCCTGTTTTCAGGAAATGAAAAATATCATTCGAATATGACGGTTAATTTCGCCGAAATAAAATGTTATAATAGCTCGGTCGGTAAAAGGGCGGCCCCGAAACAGAAGGCCGCGGTTCGTGTCACGATCATATACACACTTATTTTTTTTCTATACTAGATCATTGCTTTCTTTATTTTTTATTTTTTTTTCCAAATACACGATTTACCAAAAAAAAAAACCTCCAGGTACTAATTATTAAAGATACAATTCTGTAGTTATAGGAAAAATTTACTTGTTTTTTAGTTTAATTTCAAGCTTCCCGAGCTCATGTATTTTTGATATTCTGATCATTCTGGTCAATTCAAAGACTTTAACTATTCTTTTGGCAACTAAAATGACTTTTATTTTGAAAAGTCATTGGACAGCTGATTAGTTTTACGATGATCAGTGATTTGGAAACCGTGCTACATTGGTAAAAACTGTAATTAAACTATGACGATTAACAAACAGTTCAATAACATTCATCATCAAATGCAAACAAACTATAAATGATAACAGAGAGTCTGTTACGTAATCAGCGTGAAATTCGTTAGGATCACCGGTAAAAACGACCACACACAGTGACAAACTTAAAGCTTAACGCAAACTGAGTAAATCGTCAGTGAATCTGATGGCAAATAGTCCGCTTGTTGATCTAATGCTTTCACAAACATCGCCCGAGCGATGTGTGCGGAATGGAGAGCGCTTTTTGTGCTTTATTACTGGAGTGTTTTTTTTTTCGTTGCCCGTGTTGACGGTGAAACCTTTTACGAATGTATGGCAACATTGTAGTATAGTGTCATTTATTCATATTGCGACTAATGAAACTTAGCACTTACATCAGATGCGGCTTTAAACAATTCGAGACATATTTAAAAAAAATAATGTGGCACAGATGATAATTCACCGTAATCAGTCAATGACAATTAACGTTTATAATTTTTCGCAAGGGTTTATGCACTTGATTGTATTGGGGTAATACTTTAATTTAGGTCTATATATAAAAAAAAATAATGATATGTATACCCGTGAATAAGGATTATTTAGCATTTAGTATTACTGTATTACTGTATCTTATAGCAAAGTAAAAACATAAGTTTTAAACTTTAAAATTGTTTATTAGCCTTTATGGAACATTGAATGCCTTCTGTCGTCATCGTTCTGCCTTTATCCCGCCTAGGTGGGATCGGCACATGGATATCATGTTGTAAACATTTTTGGCTATGTTTTTTTTTTTACGACCGACCGCCTGCCGGACATCAGTGACATCAACCCTCATTGGGAAAAAAACACCCAGATCCGGAACAATTACCTGAGGGTCACACTAATACTTTTTCCGTGTGGAAATCAAACCCACGGCCCCAGGTGCTGAAGCCGATATCTAAGCAACTGCGCCACCGAATCACTTTTCTTTTGTATGAAATTAAAAAAAAAATTTCTGGAAAGCTAGCCGTTTCAATATAAGTTAAAAAGACGTGTAAGATTGTAAAACGTTATTAACATTCATAGAACAAATTCAAAACTGATGGAATTCATTCAAATGCCAACCGATTCGCCGGGCGTTGTTTACAAGTTATAACATAACGACGTCAGAGAAATCATAGTACAAAGTGGAGTACCGAGCAGTGCCAGTGTGTCTGCTGTCCAAGTACATGCCAGCATTGAACTAGATAAGGGCAATTATAGAAACTTACATAACCACCGTCCGCGCTAAAGGAAACGTTGTCGCGGCACTATCGAAATCGAGTGTTCGTTTTGAAGTGGCACCGTGTACCGATATCGGGTACACATGTTAACTGCGCTATTTACCTACAAGTTTGTCGTGTCGGCCGCGCGCAAAGGTTGCCGATTGATGGATGGGGCGGCGAGGGCACAAAGCTCGCCGGCGATAACGCCTATCGGCGGCTATCTGCGCTTATCGGCCGGGGGAATGCGCGCGGTAGCGTCCCCCGCCCGAACTGGCCGACCGTAATCCTGTCCTGTTCATTATACGCCAATGACTGCGCCGTACAGATTGATGGGTCCAATATAGACGATACGCTAATCCTCGGTTACCATCCGTTCGGACCGACGTACGTGTCTTTCGTCTCTAACCAGGAAGTAACATGAACAAAAGACGAGTAATTTTAACGGTAGTATATCGAGAGGCTCTGATACGCCCCGACGTGAATGCAACGTGTTGGTTCTAGCCAAGAAGTCTCACTCGCGAAAACAATGTTGTTATACTCCAGATTTCGTACGGTAATGTGGCAATCGAAGAGCACTCTTCCGACACAATTAAACCCTTCTGGTGTTTCGGATGATCATACGCGGTAATCACTTGGTAAACCAAGCCAGCCACTCACTAGATAGACAAAGACTACGACACCTTGTAGAGAACGCATATATTTCTTATTCTATTACATACGTTCAAACGTCAAATGATGAGTAAAAATAGAAACTCAGAAGAAGAATAAGAATTACTTTCAAAGATGGCCGAAGTGTTTGTGTTCTGAGCAGTGAAAAAGTACTACAACAGTCTTTATCTAGACAAGCAGGTGACCTGAATTCTATTTATTCGATTTCGCCCGTTGCGAGTTGAAAAGAGATAAATAAAACTCGATCCAGGTGCACTCGTTTGCCACTTTACTGCAGCCTTCGGTCAATGTGCCATTACAATAACAATTTCAGTAAAAGTTTCTCTAAGAATTGTATATTCAAATAACACTCTAATTCAAATAACAGATGCTTAAGCAGGGAATAGTCACGAAAGTCAATATTTCAATAATTTCAATTATTATCGAACGTAATTATAGTTTTATGAATGTATGAGTGAGTTTTGAGTGCACTAATAGCACAATAATGTTAGTGGTCCAACTGGCTGTTGTGGGTTTGATCTTCACAAGGGACAAATTATTTTTTTGTGATCTTAAATCCGTGATATTATGTTGTTCAAAATTCCTACAATACATTTATTGGTTGCTTATTCGTCAACGTTTTTGAAATAACTTAAATATGTTTATACTAGTTTATTATCGTAATATTCATATTGTTGTGGTGAATATGTCTTTTGACGGTCAATGTCGATACTAAGAATAAACTAAAAGAGCCAATTAAAAAATTCCGAGGCATTTACCTATGTAGTGTTAAGATCTATTGAATTTTTATTCAATCAAGATAAATATCGGCAATAAAAGTGTTCGCACTAATCCGGAATGTAATAAATATGTTTAGTTAAACATCGCGTTGATAACGTTTAATCTATAACAGTAGGTAAGTTTAATTACCTACTGAGATATTTTAAAATGTTTATTTGTCAATGCGGCTTTAAAATTTGGCTTCTATTGTTATCCCTGCGACGTGATTGTAACTCGGATTAGAAGGTATTAAAGAGCTAAAGGAAACAAATAAAATCGATATATGAAGAACTAAATCTGTAGATACTACTACAGGCACAGACTATTTTATTAATGTTGCAGTTTAATTCATGAAGCAAAGCAGAAAAATCTTTCATTATTCATATAGCTTCTAAATTTTGCTAGTGATATTTTTTTAAATAAAGATTTTGCTGATCCTGTTAATGACCTTGTCATAGTAAATTTACTATGAATAAATTAGTCTTATGTTATGGTGAGCTATTGTTACCATAAAGAAGGTAGTAGTTCGATAAAATATTACTTTATTTATTAAAAATTATTACGAAGAATGCTAATACTTCATGGATTTCTTTAAATAATTAGACGCTTGGTAATTATTAAATGAATTTTGAAACGATAAACTGATTGCCCGTCACTTTTTGCGTGAGTAAATCCTAACTTTTGCGAGATTTTACATTTTAAAAATATTTTTAGAAATCTATTTCTATTAGTTTTCGGCGACAATTCCTGAAGCGCAAATTATAACATCAAGCAGTCGGTTCATTGACACGGGGATTTCGGCCGAACCCAATATATGCGGCTTGATTGCTTTACACGCGTTATCAGTAACGAATTGATGTAATAACAGCACCATATCACTTGTCCCCTTCGTTGTGACATCGTTTTAACAGTGGACACGTTAAACAGAATCTCACGACTTCATTTACATATTTCCTTTCATAGACACGTTTCAAAGAAGAGTAAACAGATTTTTCAATGTAACAAAGCTAAGACGTTTATATTGTTGATGGTGATGTTTATAAAAGTCACTTGGACGTGCAGGAACTATTTCAACTACGAGGTCAAACTGAAACACTTAAAATACAGTTAAGCTATGTTATAACTCTCTTAAGGAGTGTGAAAAGACAATGAAAGGCTAGCTTCATTATCTTCGTCTTAAGTTTTACAAATGAGTTAATATTATTCTGTGTAGGGTTTTGATATAAACTTTTATATTATTAAAAATAACCCCTCTCCTATTACATATAAAACACTCTGTGTAAATAAATTGCTTGATGACGCTCGGGCTTAAAAGTCTCAAAACTTAGCAACAGGAAAATGTAACGAGAAAAATGCAATATCTCAAAACTATGACAAGGTAAAAACGCCTATCATCCGAATGTAATGAGGTATTACACGAAAACATTCACCGTCGACAGAGAGTTCGCTATCGGCGGCATAAACTACGTTATAGCGTCGCCTTCCTCATCGGGAATAATGTATTTACGGCGGTGTCGTAAAAGTATTATCTGCGCCTGCGCCCTAATCCCGGGCATTAGCGACAGCTACCGTCCGCCATGATTCAATATTTTTTATCTATGCTACGAACAGTTGAAATTTTATAAAAAAACGAACACGTTTCTGTGGGAATTTCTTAAGTTTATTATTGTATTAGTTGTTTACTTTCCGTAACCCAATTCTTATTTTAAACGTTTCTTACGTGTGTTGTCGGATATAGAAATACTATCTCGATGGTCCGTCAACAGACCTAGGCCGTAGACCATGTTTTTGCTTTTTAATATTCTAACATAACTACGATCTTAGATATTTGAAACCGCGTTTAGTAGTGGATGAAACCTGTCTTTTGATTATTTACTATAGATTCATTACTTTAACTTTAACTTTAATTGTCGTTTTTGCTTTCAGTCCGTAGACTCAGAATGTTGTCAGTACTATGCTTCATCGATTGCAGAACTTGTGGGCTCTACAGAACCCACGAGCTTGATACGACCCTCCGTAGAGACGCGCATGTGGTCATGCATGCGTTATCTTAAACGGGAGATATGACACCTACGGGCCATCGAGGTTTGATAGGGACCGTGACCCTGATGGCCGTTGACTGTATTAATTGGTGGTTGTTGGCATTAACAACTGCCCTGGCTCACGGGTGTATTTTGTGTACGCGTTGTGTTGGATTCGCCTTCCTTATGCTCGTCGATGACGAACTAATAGGCTGTTTGTTTTAGCATGTATGTGTATAGATAGTGTTGTCTAGCGGGACCCCCGCTGGGTCAGAGCTACCCCCGCTGGGTCAGAGCTACCTTTTTCCGTTTCCTCGACCTGGTTGATTTACCATCAAAGGGTGGAATGGTTTTCAGCCCTTTCGATGTACCATTATTGTATGGAATCAGAAACTGATTCCATACAATATACAAACACGACCTAAAAATTACTATGGATTGGGTTAAATTTCGGGCACCGAAGCTAGATATTGGCGCATAAATGATTAAATTTAAGTAAGTCTTTCCATTTTGTGTCTTTGTACTCTTTTTAATAGAGTTTCCTTTGTCCATAACACAAATTAAAATCTGCAGACAACCGACCACTGACCTCGGAGCCGACGATAAAGACGGAGTCAACGACCCCGGGCGTGGGTCCAGACGAGCCGTCCTTGGACGATAAAGGGGACAAGAAGAACAAGCGGCAGCGCCGCCAGCGGACGCATTTTACCAGCCAACAGCTCCAGGAGCTGGAGGCGACCTTCGCGAGGAACCGATACCCGGACATGTCCACGCGGGAGGAGATCGCTATGTGGACGAACCTCACGGAGGCGAGAGTCAGGGTGAGCAGATTCATTTTATTATTCTGTTTATTTCTTATTATTTTATTTTTCTTATTATTATTATATTTCTGTTTATTCTGAGCATTCGGTTTATTAATTATAATAATAATAAAATATCTTTATTCACATAGACGCTTGTGCGTTCGTATGAAACGTCGAAATTGTACAAAGAAATTAATAAGTACGTTCGAAGTTACCACTGGTTCGGAAAGCCGTTTCTGTTGAGAAGAAACCGGCAAGAAACTCAATAGTTGCTCTTTTTTAAAAATGGCAGTTTACAATAAAATCGTACAGGCATAATAGTTTTGTTTTAGCCTACTTGAGTATCAACAGTATTACCTCCACGAAAAAAAAATATTAAAACTGTTTGAAGATTCGCGATATATTAAGAACCCACAATTATTTATCCCTTTGTGCATATATGTGCATTTATGGATCGGAAATAAAAATGACAACAGATATGAACGAAGTGCGTTAGTGTTTCCGTATGTATACTGCCAAGAACTTTATTTACAATAGTATTCGAACAATTAATGAAGTGACAGATAATAATAATGATATCGCTATCAATACATCGGTTATAGTTTTAATTGAATAAAATCATGCTTAAACAATTACTTAATTATTATTTCACGCTCTCGCAAACACGGCACTGTTGCTCTTTTAACCGCTGATTTACCACGTGACTGGTGATGACGAAAATCATCGTAACAACGAAGCCATAGGTCATATATAATACGCTGTACTTTACTAATAGAAAGTTGATTATAATTTTACTGGTCAGGCGGTGGATTGAATTATCGTAGAGTAATTTCAGGAACATCGAAACTTAGTAAACTAGTTTTGTCCCATTTACTTTTTTAAAATAATAAAGTACATAATTACTGAGTACTGCTTATGATATTGATACTACGAGCCTGAAGTTTAAATTGCAATATTAACTTAATTACAACATGTCGTTTTGACTTTTTCATCATTCGTCATTCCGTCCTTCTTCGGCACTAAAAAGTAGAGTCGATCCAAAACCATTACTCCTTACACCTTAAAATATATCTATCAATAGCTAAATTAAAAAAAAATATTTATTGGTAATTGTTTCAATGATAATACACCTTGGAAATGAATTAATTGCTCTAGGTTCTCTTTTGTTAAATAATGGTAGGAAAAACGGTCCAACAAAGTTTCTTTCCCCGGGTTCTTTTCAGGTCAGTGGTTTTCTTTTTCGAACCGGTAGTAGTATTTTGACAATCAATAAGTAAGATATTCGTATTTGAATTTGCTCGAACCGGGCAATTCTAACGCGCGTACGAGGCGTTTTCGGTAAATTTATTACGCGTACAATACATATCTCGCGCTGACAGGTCCATTATCGCGCGCGTTGTCATTGCCGATAAGCAATTATTGCATGATAAAGGATCGATAATTAACTGGAGCGTAGAGGATGTTGTTTGGCCAAAGCAAATAGTGATTCAGTGTCCGTCAGGTTGACTTTGACCGCGTTCGTTAACAGTTTACTTAATGGGAGCGCCACATTAGCATTCGTTGGTATAAGCTAATAAGGTTGTTCCACATAGCGGCCAAAAGCCTGTTGGTTGGCCATAATTTGAATATGCAGAAACTAAAACTTTTCGCCCTTCAAAATAGTCGTCGTTAAGCGAACACACTCAGAGATGTTAAATTAGCATTTGACAGCGGTTAATCTAATGTAACTGATAATACTAGTGGGGTTACTGATGCGTTGCCAACCTGTAAAACAGTGGTTCCAGTTGAAATCACTTCCAACGCTCAAATAATAACACTGTGCAGACATATTTCCCTAACGAACCCGCCAATAAGTATAACAAAAAATGTTGCGTGGTTATAAAACTATTATAATGAAATAGCCACGTAGCAACTTATGTGGTGAGTGACGCATCTACTACCCAGCTGTTGTGGATACATATGGACGGCGCAGTTCACATCAGAAAAACGACGGGCTCGTTTGTCAACATCTCAAAAAAAAACTTTTTTTTTTATTTATGTACGAATGTGCCCAACGAGCTGGCGATTTACATGGTATCAAGCGATAACCACTGCCCACTGACATTCGCAACAGCCGTTGGGTTGCAGATGGGTTGTCATCTTGTAATAAAGTAGACTGCGGCTACCTCACTCACCAGATTAAACGCAGAAGTATAACACTTTCACTTCACGACGGATACGTCAGGCCGAACACCAAAAATGATCCATCGACGCCTTCAGGCCGCGGCCATCACCATCGGTGACTGGTTCCGGCTTTGGAGGATCGAGATCAATCCCGCTAAAAGCGCGGCAGTCTACTTCTCTCACAAAAATGCGCCTAACCCGCCACCCGTTAAACTCATGGATAGTCCGGTTCCATGGGTAAACAATGTCAAATACTTAGGTGTCGTCCTTGACTCTAAACTCAAATTCAGACAGCACGTGACTCGGGTCAGGAACCGGGCGGCCTTCGTACTAGGTCGCCTGTATCCCCTTTTAAATAAAACTTCAAAAATGTCCCTTCGAAATAAGGTGACTTTATATAAGGCAGCAGTTCGCCCCATCATGACATACGCGAATCCGGTCTTTGCGCACATTGCCCCGAGGCAAATACATCGGCTTCAGGTCATTCAGAATCGAGTTTGGGCAGAGCTACGGGAGCCCCGTGGTTCATGCGGAACATCGACTTACATGTAGATTTAGAGCTGCCTACCATCGCTCAATTCCTGAAGTCGGCGTCGCGCCGCTACTTCGAATCCGCCGCCGCGCATCCCAATCCGTTAGTTGTAGGTGCCATCACCTACAAACCCCTACCGCTAGGTTCGTTCCGACGCCAATGGCGCAGACCACGACACGTACTCGATTTCTCTGACGATGAGACGACTATCGCCATCGACAAAATAAAACAATTACGCAAACACATCAGATCACACACATATAACATATACTAGGTTCCGCCAACCTGGCAGGTTTTCCCCCGTTAATGATAGAAGCGTTGCTGGAGTTTCTTCCGCCACTTCTCCCAGCGCCAACACTTTCCGAAGTGGCAGTAATGTTAGATCTAGAAATTCTCCCAGTCAGATAATAGCTACTGATCGAGCCGAGGTTCGGCCCTCTCGGGCACCCTAGAATCGGAATGCTAAACGGGTATTGAGTGACAGCCCAAGCCGAGGCTTCCTCGGGAGCCCCCGAGCTCAGTCACCATAACGCGTAATAATAATACGCCGAGGTTCAGGCTAGACGCCCCGAGCGCCTGGCCACCTCAAGTCCGGCGAAACTGTAAAGGCCCCTAAGGCCAACAGTGGCTCATCAAGCCAAAAAAAAAAAAATCACGACGGCCTTCTGTGAGAACCTGGACGGACTTGCCCATTCGTGCAACAGCGTTTACTAGCATATGCATGAACTACAACCGGCAAACAAAATCCCGTCCTTACAAAATTTATTTATATTCATATGTCACTAGCTGCTACCCGCGACTACGTCTGCGTAGAATAGGCTGAAGGTGTAACATTCAGACAGAAAGACAGATAGGTATAAGTACATAAAAATATGTATATAAATTATAGCCTATGTCCTATTCTGATAAGCTAAATTATTGTAAAGTTTTATTAAAATCTATTCAGTAGTATTTGCGTGAAAGTGTAACAAACATCCATCCATACATACAAACTTTGCCTTTATTAGTAAGGATGTCACTCTTACCGATTCCATAACGCACTTTATTTGTAACCAATTTTAATATACAAAAATGGAGTTCAAATGTCTAATTGACAATTAAAGAAAATGATGTGGCTATCATTTGATCTGTAAAAATGCGCTGAACTTTTTATCTCTATCTGGATTAACAACTGTTTAAAAAATATTAGAATATGTTTTAAATATCACTCTTTCAGTAATATATTAGCCCTGCAACTTTATTATTTTTCAGAAACTGGCACTAATCTTTAGCATGGAACAATCTAATATTATATTTTACATTACAAATTTTGTTTTATAGTATATTAAAAACAAAATTTGAAATGTCAAATATAATATTTTGAATATAATATTGCACGTAATTCCAACAGCTGATGATCCTAGATCGTAAATACAGCACGCAATATAAAACCTAACATACTGGATATAAGAGTGTATATAATTCGTGATGTTTGCGATCTTCGGCGCATGCGTCGCAATAAATTAAGATGCTCAAATACAAATTAGGATTAGATGAATCGTTAGTGCCGATTACTCTCTCGATAGGAAGCAGAACCATAACACAATATCGCAGTTATTCGCGCTGGACTTTACACTTCTGGGCGAGCTGACGTAGAAGTAGCGTGGTGCATCACGACGCTAACGAGGCGCACGCAGCACCAAATCGTCGCATCCGGCGCGCCTTCGGTATTTTTGTGCCGCCCCGTCGGACGGAACACGGGATCCCTTAATCCGCGAGGATTCAGAGCGTCTATTTCGGTCCCCCCGTAATCCCGGGCTTAGGGCCGATCGCATCCACGCTGTCAATAGTTTCGGGAGGCCCGCCGGATTCTGCGGTGCCGCTCCGCACTATTTACAAGTGCGGGATGCGCCGGATGCCTCTCGGTTTCTTCGGCGCGCCGATTGCCAACGATAATCTTTGATACGTGCCCCGCGAGCGGATTCCCTCGATGCCAATGCGGTCATTGTTTTAGTTCAACGCTAAAAAAATGTCGATGTTCTCGAGTAATGTTTCTTGTCGTTGCTAGTTTCTTTAAGCGCGACATTAAATCTTTTGAAATGGGTATTACGCAGAGTTTAACATTGAAGTGGGATGATTTTTACTTTACAATGTTTTATGATGTTATTTAAATTTTCTTTACATATTTTAAACTTTCTTCTTGACGTTATTTTGATTGTTATGCAAGTTTGCTGTGCTACCTACATACCAAACACGCAACTATTGCATAATATTGTGAAGCTTAAATAAACTTTGTTGAAGGAGGATGTAACATCGTGAAGCATATATATATATATATATATAT